CTATGCCTGGCCTTTGTGTGGATTTTTTTAAAATCACATTTAAAAAAAAATGTGTATGTATTTGGCGAGGGAGTGCACGCTGTGTTCCTGTGGAGCTCAGAAGACAGCTTAGGAGGAGTCAGTCCTCTCCCTCCACCATGTGGGCCTGGGAATGGGGGTCACACCCATGTCAGCAGGTCTGGCTGCAGTGCCTTTATCCACTGAGCCATCTAGCCAGCCCATGTGTCTTTTTAAAAATGTTTTTGTGAGGTGTCTGTGCATGTGTGTATTTTTTCACATGTGTGTGGCACATGCCTTTGGAGGATCAAGACTAAGATCGGAGACCTTCCTCTATGTTCTCTACAGTATTCATTGAGGCAGGGTCTTCCAGCTGAACCCCATTAGCTAGCTTGCTTTGGGGGTTTCCTATCTGTTTTCCAAGCTCCAGAATTATATATGAGCTGCCACTCACAATTCAAACTCTGGTTCTTCTGCTGTGTGGCAAGCACTTTACCCGCTGACATCTCCTCTTTCTCTCTGTCTCTCTGTGTGTGTCTCTCTCTCCCAAGAAATAAAACATTAGGGGCCAGGGAGCTAGTGCAGTTGCTAAAGTGCTTTCCACATAAGGACGAGCACCTGAATTCAAAACCCGTCACTCATGTGAAAAGCCAGGCAAGGTGGCACTGTCCTGTAACCCTAGAGGTAGGAAGGCAGGAACCAACAATCCCTGTGCTTGCTGTCCACCCGCCTACAACCTCGTCTAATCTCAGTTAACTCTAGTCCCAGTGTGAGGCCCTATCTCAATCCCAAGGCGAATGTCTCCCGGGGAAGGATGTCAAGGTTGGCCTCTGGCTCCATGTATACATATGTGTTCACCTACACACACCGGGAGCAGGGCACAGAGGGACAGATGGAGAAATAGACAGAGACTGGCAGACAGGCAGAGAGAGACAGAGAGTGAAGAAATAAAGTAGTAGATTGGTTTGCAGCTTCTGTGTCCTTCTTCATAGTGTCTTTTCTTCTCCCTCCAGGGGTAATTTCATCCTGAATTTGGTGACTATGGCTCTCCTGCCTATTTTCCTACTTGAAACAAATGTCCTACACAACATGAAGTTCTTTTTCTTTTCTTTTACTTTCTCTCTCTCTTTCTCTCTTCCTCTCTCTCTTTTCTTTCTTTTTTCTTTCTTTGTTTCTTTCTTTCTTAACAAGCTCTCCTATCTTCTAGGCTGGCCTGGAACACACTGTGTAGCCAGGGACAACCTTGAACCCTACAGGCTGAAATTACAGGAAATAAAACTTCTTTACCTGACACTGGCTTGCCCTCTATTTTTCTTATCTCTTGTTGTGTAACCAGTTTTTATTCACCAGTAGAATTTACCAGTCAGTGCCTTTGGTCTCTTAAGCTATTTTGCTTCATAAAGATATTTTATATTTTTTAGTAAAATCCTTATAGTTTTACCTTGTCTGATTTAGGTTTTTAACCCCTTCCTTCCTTCCTTCCTTTTTTTTCAGGTTTTGTTTAAAGATAAGGTTTTCTGTGTAGCCCAGGCTATCCTGGAACTCACTATGTAGACCAGGCTGGCCTCACATGCACAGAGATCCACCCGCCTCTGCCTTCCACGGTGCTGGGGCTAGAGGTGTGTGGCACCCTGCCTGGCTTTTACTTAGGTTTTTAATCTACCTGAATTTCTATTTTACATGGTATAAAAAAAGATAACATTTTCTACATTTTTTGTTGTTGTTTTTTGAGATGGAATCTCGCGTAGCATATGTTGTCCTCAAACACAAGGATGACCTTCAACTCCTGATCTCTCTCAGCCCCCAGAGTGAGTCTGCAGTACCATGCCCTGCTCTGTCATAGTTACACAATTATCCCAGCATCCCTCATTATCATTTATAGGCTAACCCTGGCCCACTGGCTTGTAATCCTGCTGCGGTCATATGTTAGGTTCCCACGGCCTTGGGTGTATCTGACTCTCTGTTCCATTTCTAGGCGTGTATGTTCTTTCATCAATACAACAGAGCTCCACTCTGTGTCATGTTTTAGAGTCTCTCTAGAGGCAAATGGCTTTTCTCTCTCACCATCTTTGTGCTTTTCAGGGGTAGTGCCATCAGACAGTAGTGTATTCACTGTCACAATAATTTGTGATTTTAAAGGTCGAGGTTCTTTTATAAAAATATTTTAACTGAGCAATTGAATGACTGTGCAGAGTGTCTTCATTCATCAGAGGATCAAAAGGGCATGCATAGCAGGCTATTTGGCCTTATCTGTCTCTATCAGTGGGTCTGTTTTTGCTACCTTACTGTCTCCACTGAGATCGTTTTAGGTTGAGCTTCATTGAGTGTTCAAACCATGTAGGGGTTGGTAAACTTGAAGCTCCAAGCTTGGATTTAAGTGGGTGTCTCCCATGACTTGATGGAGCTCTGTTCATGAAGCCACCACACTTTCAGTCTGGGCAGGGCCTTCAGGAAGCTGAGTCGAGCGTCTATGTCTTCAGGTAGTATATCTCCCTGACTCTAGTTTTTTTTTTATATTATCCTTCTTTCTCTGCATTCTGCTTGTTCAAGCAGAGACAGTGTTTTTGTTTGTTTAATTGGTTCTTTGGTTTTGTGGGATAGGGTCTCTCACTATGTAACCTCAGCTAGCTTATTCCATAGGTAGCACAGGCTGGTTCCCAACTTGCAGAGATCTTCCAGACTCTGTCTCCTGAGTGCTGAGAATATAGACAAGCCCATCTTTCCTGGCTCAAGCAGGTTTTTCTCTGTAGCTTCTTATTTGCTTTAAAAACACTTTATGTTGTGTGGAAATATTAAAATTGTCCGTATTAATGAGGATGTCGTACTATGTTTAGACACGTATACACTGAATAGTGTTTAAGTCAGGGTCAGCACATTTATCTGCTTAAACATTTTAAAATATTTTTTTAATTAAAAGAATTGCATGTATGTGTGTATTTGTGTGTTGACGTGTGTACAGGAATGCGGGTGCCCTCGGACGCCAGATATGTCAGATCCTCCAGTAACTGGAGTTGCAGGTGGGTTGTGACTTGCCCAAATGTGAGTACTGAGAACTCAGGTCCTTTTCAAGAGCCGGAAGAACTCTCAGCTGTTGAGCCATCTCTTTAACCCCCCTCAAACATCCCTTCCGTATAGTGAACTCTTGAAGTCCTTTCTCCTTGCTTTCTGAAGTGCACGGTGTGTCGCTGTTCCTACTGTGCAAGTCAGAGCCTCTTGCCCCTGTGCAAATCTGTTTCCCTATTTCCCTATACGTGATGATTCATCTCCTCTTCCTCTTCCTCCTCTTCTTCCTCCTCCAGTTTAGGGACTGAACTCAGGGCCTCCTGAATGCCAAACAAGTGCTCCACCATTTAGCTACCCTTCCAGGAGAACTTCTTGTTTTATTATTAATGTCTGTTGAAATTTGATTTAACAATGTGTCAGAGGACGACTCTGTTGACTTGTTTCTCTCCTTCCATCTTTACGTGGGCTCTGGAGCTGGAACACAGATCACTGGCTCACCAGAAGCACCCTTCCTCACTGAGCTATCTTGGCTATCTTCACTGGCCCTTTGTTTAAGGCAAGGCTTCCCTAGGTAGCTCAGGCTGGCCGACAAATCGCTGCTCCTAATATTTTAAGCAATTTTATTGCTTGTATGTTTCAATATAAATTACATCAAATCCTTTTGTGGGAAGGCGGAGTATAAATAAATAAAACAAGAACCAGGCTTAGCGGCACACATCTTTAATCCCAGCAGTCAGGAGGCAGAGGTAGACAGAGCTCTGTGGGGTTGAGGCTAGTCTACTTAGTGAGTGGCAGGAGAGCCAGAGCAACAAAGTGAGACCCTGTCTCAAGAAAAAACAAAAACACAAACAAAAAACCAGAAGCAAGCAAGCAAGCAAACAAACAAACAGAATGAGCAATGTCCAATAAATGTGGAATAACTGGGGAGTTTGAGGACTTCAGTGGCCCGGTGATTTTCCAGAATCATTAGTGTAGAAAGTTAATTTCATGTGTAGTCCTTTCTCTACCCAGTAATACTGTATTAAAGTCAGGAATGAGAAAAAAAAAATCTTATTTTACTTCCAATCTCTGCTAGTAAATCCAAAACAAGTCCTCTAACCTTAAAAAGCAAAGTGATTGGCAGGTTGTCATTGTGATATTTTACTAAGTACTGAATCGAGCTGCTTATGAACGGCTGTGGGGCTTTTCTTTTGAGCTGAACCTAAATCTGATTTCTAAAAAAACATGGCTCGTCGCGCTTTTGTGTTCTTATGAGCTCTGGTAACCCCCTTCAGGGGCTTCTCTCACAGGCCTCGCAGTCCATTCACTGGGCGCGATACAAAGCGTTTTGTTCCTTTGCTCAGCACAGCGTGCCGTCTCCCAAGGAGACGCTGAATGCCCACCAAGTCATGCTTTCCCATTACTCATTCCTCCTTTTCTCCCAAGGTGGCGTGTGGGAGGTGTTGTGCTGGGGTTCGACAAGAATAGGCCAGGAAGCTTTCTGCTGGATACACTCATGCCCGCGCGGGGTTCCGTTCCCACCGCGCCGGGCTCGGCGGCTACACCGTGTGAGCTGTTTTCCAAACGGACAATGACTCCTCACTCGGCCGCTCCCACAGAATCCCAGCTCTCGGATGGCACCTGGACCGTCCAGTCCCGCCTGGTCACGGAGCCAAGCTTTTGTCCCCTTACGAAGCGGGTCATCCGGCTACACAGGCGCGGAGTCTACCCGTTAACACCCTTCAGGGGTCACCCAGGAGGGAACTCTGGACACCGGCTTCGCCCACCCGGCACGCCCGCACCCGCATCCGCTCCCGGACCACCAGGGGGCGCTCCAGCGTCTCCGCCGCTCCGCCGGCATCTCCCGCCCCCTCTGCCAGACTCGCCTCACCATTGGCCAGATGTCTCAAGATCTTCATCTCGATTGGTCACATTCCACGTCGGTCTCGGTTGCTGGGCGGGCCGAGGTGACGCGCGGCGCTCTAGCTCGGGGCGGTGTCCCGCGCCGGCGGCTTCGGGCGGAGTTTGGCGAGCGGTGTAGTCAGACGGCTGTGGTCCTGGGAGGCGACAGCTCGCCTCCGAGCTTCTCTCCGCTCGTCCGCCGCAGCCACCGCCGCGCCCCGGCCTCCCGCCGACCCTCGATGCAGCGCCGGGCGGCTGCGTGATGGGGCTGCGGAGCGGCGCCCTGCGGCTCGCGGCGGCCGCTGCTCGCGCTGAGCTGCGTCGGTGCCCGGCCTCCCGCGCCCCTGCGCGCCGCGGCGTCTTCTGACTCGGCCGGCCCGCCCGTCGGTCCGCAGCGCGGCTGAGGTGAGGAGGCTGGGGGGAGGCTGAGGCGGGGCGGCCGAGGGGAGGCGGTCGGGGGTGCTGCGGCGCCGGCGGAGGGGCCCGGCCGCTCCCGCGGGAGGGACCCCGGGCCGGTGTCGGGCCTCGGGGGCGAAGCGAGGACGCGGCGCGGCCGGCCGGGGCACCGGGTCCGCGGTGAGGAGCCGCGCCCTCAGCGGAGAGACCCGGCTGGCCGGCCGCGAGCCCCGGGCTTTGGGCCAGCGGCCGGCCGGTCCCCCGCAGTGCCCTGCACCAGCCTTCGGCTTACCCCCGGGCTGCCAGGCCCCGCTCTGTCCGCGGGCCAGCCGAGCCGTCGCTCTCCCTCGGTATCTGCGCACATTGCAGCTCTGAGGGAGCCGGCCCTGCCCGGCGTGAAGCCAGCCGATCTTTCCCTACTTCTGCTCTCTCACCCCCATTGTGGTTGGCATCAGGGTTCTGACTTGGGAATGTGGCAATGCCCCTGTGCCCGATGTAGGTAGGAAAGGGCATCCGGTGGAGCGCAAGGGCTGGACGGAGGAAGCGATGCAAAGGGAGGGGGCTTGTTGGATGCTGGCCAGCTGGGAGGAAGGCTGGTGTGGGCTCGACGTTCTGCCGACCAGGATTACTCTGGCAGCCATATTGGGAGGATGATCTGACAAATCCTTTAGGAGCCAAGTCCGGTTGCTGGAAGGCACCGAGTGACAGCCCTGGCAGCTTTCAGGGTGACTGGCCACACCAGAAGCCAAGTTGTGGGGGTTGGGAGGCCGCCCGGAGCAAGCTAGTCATTGTTCATGCAACGCAATCTCTCGCCTACTGTGAAAGCAAAAATGAGCTACAAAATCACTTTTTCTCTTGGGTGAATTGCTATAGGAGCCTTCAGGGTAAACTGGATTGAAGATTCCATTCTAATTGGGGTGAAATTCTGCATTTCTGTACTTATCATCGATACCCATTGCTGCTTTGGCCCTCAAAGGCCTGTTGATGCCTTTCCTGTGCGAAGGCCACTTTACCATGTTGGAGGCGCTCAGCATATTGCATTACGTGGATAGATTTGCATAGTGTCTCAACATGCAGAGATTAGGTAAACTGGAATATTCTGGTAGCAGAGAAGACTTACAGCAGTATTTCTGAGGATGCAGGTTGTCATCCTTGTGGAATCTGGAGGTAGCCTAAATTAGATTGTCAACAGATCTCTTGCGTCTGTTGCTCTCACTGTTCCAAGCAGCTGTTCTGCCAACACTAAGCTGCTGCTTTGTGTCATGATGTGCCCGTCTTAACCCAGAGAAAGTGGTGATTGGCTTTGAAACTGTTAAAAAGTGATATTTTAGTGGGTAATTTATTTAAAGGCTGGCACTTGGTGCTCTTGGCTTAGTCATAACAAAGTGTTAGCTTGGGTTCTCATTTGAGGAGTGTGGTAGTGTTTTCTAATTTTGTTAATATCGATTATGAAGTAATTGATGTTGTTAATGTTCTATTTTGAGCATGGACTTTGAAGATTACTCATCTTGATGTTTTAAAGTAGATCTAGAAATGATCAATAAGGCTCAGAGGAAGCCTGAAAATGTGTTTTCCTATATTTTGAACATGCACAGGAACTGGAGAAATGACTCCTGCCATCCTTATGTGTACACACACACACACACACACACACACACACACACACACACACTTGTTTTTGGCAATGGAGGCTGTAGATCTAAGCCAGGTCTTAGACATTAGACAAGCTGTCTACTATTGAGCTATATTCCTACTCTCCCTACTCCATTTTTTAATGCATAAATTCCTTATTTAATTTTTTTGTCTACTTAAGAATAACTCCTAAAAACAAATTGTAATGTTTTTCTAAGGAAAGTCAACACACTTTATTTTTTTTTGTAATTTTTACCGTTCAGTAATCTCTTTAAACTTCCAACGACACTAATTTTCTCTTTAGTGTACTGGTTTATTTTATGTGTGCGAGAGTTTTGCTGGTTTGTATGTATGTGCACCATGCGCATGTCTGGTGCCCTCCAAGGACAAATGAGAGCCAGATCCCCTGGACCTGGGGTGACAGGTGATTTGAGCCACTGTATGGGTGCTGGGCACTGAACCAGGGTGCTCCTCAAGAGCAAGAGGTGCTTTTTAGCTGCTGAGCCATCTTGCTAGCCTGTACATTAATATTCACGTAATATTCAAGTACATTAATATTCAAGAAATAAAAATGTCTGTTTCATGATTCCATGAGTAGTTTTAAGTATATGTAAAGAACTGAGATTAAGTATAATTTAAACATTTGATAAGATTAGACCTGATTGTGAATTTGAGATAGGGGAAAGATTTTTTGAATCTGTATATGTCTTCACTGTTGAATATTTTTATCCAATTAAGTACAGTTTCTAAGGCATAGGACAGACTGCTTTCCATTTCAGGACCAGCTATGAATGCACTTTTTTTTTTTTTTTCTTTACTAAGTTAGTGCAGGGAATAAATTACTGCTCAAGAGAAGTCTGTCAACAGTTTCCAAGGCCGAGCTTTCTAGCCTGTTTTTTCTGTTTGGTCTTGTTCTGTGTACAAAATAAAGGCCAACAATGACTCTTTGCTGCCTTCTTTGTAAGCCCCTTCCCAGGCTACTCACTGCAACCAGTCTTTCTTTCCCAAGAGTAAGCATATCCCTTTGGTCTTGTAAACTGATGTGATATAATTCACAGCGCCCTACAATTAAAGGCGTATCTATCGTTCCTATTTCACTGCGGCGTCCTCTTTTGAAAGAGGTCTGTTTGAACACATACTAGTAAACTTGTGAACTCTGTAGGAGAGTGAATAAATATGTATACTTCTGGAACCTTTATTTTGATGTAGGATAAAGCATTAAACAGATGTGGCTGTGATAGGAAATTCTTGTAAAAGGTGTGTGTCTTGGACTGCTGAGAGGTATTTTTGTTTTGTTTTATTTTTGTTAACAGCGCAGGGGTTGATTTGTTCTCTTAGTTGTTAGGAGTTAATTGAGCCCATACAGAGATTTCGGTCTTTATCCTAAGAGAGTGTCAGTGCCACCATTTGTTTTTAGACTCCTCTTTTAATCGCACCTAGTATAGTCCCTTTATTTCAGTGCAGTGAGTGCACGGCTCTGGTGCTGTGGGAGGCTTGTGCTGTCCAGTCGGCCTTCCCTCTTTCTCACGCTGTATAGTGCTCATGATCTCATCATTGTTTGTGGTTGCATATGCGGTGCAAGTTAAGAGACTGAAAATAGTGCTCACTTTGGCAGCACAGACACTAAAAGAATAAAAAGATCTTTTAGATACAAAAACTTCTTCTGGTTGGGGGAGCTGAGGACTGAACTTGTTAGGCAAGTGCTGTACCACTGACCTAAATCCTCAGCCCCATAAGGCTTTTAAACTTAATTTTACATTTTAAAAATGTACTGTCATGTTGTTTACAACAAAGCTTGTCGTTCTGTCATTATATAGTTTCTCTCATTCCCCCCTTTGGTAATTTGGGTACCCCTTGGTTTAGTTTTCCCTCCCATTCGGATTTTATTTTATTGTTGTTTTTGTGTTGCTAGGCATTGCATTTGCTGGGCTTGCACATACTGAGCGAGGGCCTTTACTATGGAGCTGAGGCTCTAGCCTCATACAGATTTTTCACATCATCTTGGCAACTGTCAGTGATTATATAAACAAACAGTAGTAGCAGCAGCAGTAATGATAAAAGTATTGTACTTATATTGAGCAGTTTCTATATGTCAGGTTCTTTTGTAAGCATATTTATTAACTTAATTCGTAGACCACCGTGCCAAGTAGATATTGTCCGTTTCTCCCATGAAGAAACTGAAACATGTTAAATGACGTCCCTGTCATCACTAGATCTCAGGAACTACCCTTCCCTTAAAATTCCTTCACTTTTACTCATGCACTGCAGTGCTTCTTTTCTGCTTAGTATTGTACCACATCTTTTAACATGTCATCGCTTTGCGAACTCAAATTTACCTTCTGTTCTTAAACCCTGATAACTTACGGTTTTCACTTCTGTAGTCTCTTTGCTTGTATGTTCCCATGTTGAGTCTCCAAGGCTCGGAGTCTCTTTTTTTCCTATGCTGATATCTGGGGGTTGTTGCTCCAGCTCTTTTCTTACACATGCCAGCTTGAGTCATTCCTGCTATCCATATCTTCCGTTCTTCCTCTGGTTTCATGGAGAAGCCTCACATAGGGCTGGGGATTTGTACTGCCACCAGTGTGGAGTCCCTCAGTTTCTTTTTGATGTTTGCTGAAGCAGGTCCGCTTGGTCCTCTCAGGATGTTTACAGTGGGTTAAGCCTCCCACTGCCTCTGCTTAGCAGAAAATGTATGTACTATCTCACAGGCAAAAAGGCATGAGCTCCTTCAACCTCCCCCTTTCTCTTTTGCAAACTTCCCTGCCCCCCACCCCTTTTTCCTCCAATTTGAGAAAGGTTTATTCTCTCTGACTTCAGCTAATCCCTTGGCTAGTGCTCTGTGTATCACTGGCTCCTAATCTTTTGAGATTTGTTTCATTGGTTGCTCCTAGTTCTCCTTCACCGACTTTCATCACTGTTCCTTCAACACGCCTGGCAAGTTCTACCTTAGGACTCAGATTCTGTCTTTAGCGTGGGTTGTGCGTTCTCCCTAATCTGCTTGGCTAGCATCTTCACCTCTTTCAGATTTTTGCTTCAACAAAGCCTTCCCTGACTTAGCTGCATAGCTACATACCGTTTCTCCTTTACTTCCTTCCCCTCAGTTACCTTCATGGTAGCTCACTGCTTTTAATGCCTCTTTTCCCCAGTAGAATGAAGGTTCCTTCAAGGTAGAAACTTCCTATACTATATATACAAAAGTGCAAGTCTGTTTTATTAAAAGAATAAAGTGATAAGGGGAGAAAAATTCCTTCTTCATTCCTGTCTGCTTTCTCTTGCTTATTACATCCAGTCAGTTATGCTGGGCGTTGGCATTTTCAGTTTTTGCCACCCCAGCATGAATGGTTCAAGTGTCCCCTCCTTCTCTGATCCTGTCCTAT